GGGCAGGGCTAAAGCTCATTTGCATTTAAAGGGATATACACAAAACCAGGGCGTTTTTACAGGGTTCCTGCACACTTTTTAAGTAAAATTTAAGGCTTTTTAAGACCTGAAGAAATCAAAATTAATACCATACATTAGGGGTGTGCAATATTGACAAAAACATATCAGATATTTTCATCGTTTTGTTGATAATAATTAGTTGATATTTCACTGATTGTGTTTTTGTGCTGGTGCCGTGGCTGGTTTAGGCCTGTTGTCGGAGATATTTCTATTTTTCATATTCTATGCAGTGGTCAGTTCACAGCAGTGACAGAAATTATTCATTAATGTGCAATATTTGCCACCTTAAATTGATTTCCAGGGGCATTTTCACCTAAAACTTTCTAAACTTATTTAGAGTTATACATCACGTTTTATGTCAATTAATTTTACTTATTTATACAATAATATTTAATTACACAATAATTATACAGTACCACTGTTAGCAGTCAAATTAAATCATTCAATCAAAAATCCAAACTAACTCACAATGTCAATTTATTTTTAATTTAACTATTGTAGCAGCATAAATATCACACTTGTGCACGGGAAAACGGCACTCTTACTGACGTGATATTCTAATATAACAACATGATATAAATATAAGGCAAAAACTAATTTGGGGGCACACCTAAAACCATAGACATAATAAATACATGTCTATACGCAGTGAAAACACGAGAGACAAATGCCATGTCAGCTCACACTCACAGTGCCTCGTCCACCGTTAAAACAATAGAATATCATAATAGACATCGCACACCTCTACGCACATAAAGAATTAACTTACGACTGAACTGACATTCGCCAACTTTCTTCTCTCCTCCTCTCCTGTCTCGCGTGCAGGAGACGGACGTTATTCTGCCGCGAATGTGACGCGAATTGTCACGTGAACAAGCAAATCCACAAAGATAGATCAAAATTAATACGTACGCAAATTAGATGGTTTTAATTTGGAAAACATAAAGATATGACTAAGTCGAAGTGTCATCTAAAATTTAAGACCTTTCATACCTAAAAATAAGACTTTATAAGACTTTTAATGGCCTTAAATTTTAAATACCTCATTTAAGACTTCTTTTTAAGGACCCGCGGGAACCCTGTTTTACTCGCACACAAACGAACTAATTTGACGCGCTGTAATAAATGATCTGGTATTTTGAGCTGCAGTTTCACACACACATTCTGGGGACGCTGTAGATCTGGTGGAAAGGGGCGTAATGTCAATGGGGGTGAGATTGTAAATTCCAATAAAAATACACACCTGTGTGCGGTTGGCATTAACACAGAGTTCGACAAAAGCACATTTTAGCGGTTGCTGTAGTTATAGCGTTACCTTGCTCGCCCCGGCCCTCGGCTCTGCGGCGTGTCGGCGGGGCTCTCTCTCTCGGGGAAGGGCTTCGGCTCAGTCTCTCCACTGCGCAGGTTCTGGGGCCTCGGTTCTGATGGCTCCTGTACGCCTCCTCGAGTCGCTCCGCCTCCAGCTCCAGCTGCCGGATCCGAGCCAGAGCGTCGCTCACCAGGCCCGAGTCGTGCTCGTGTTCGGGGGCCTCGCCGCGAGTCGATCGGCCCCTGGGGGACCCCGCTTCAGCCACATCAGCGGCACACGCGGCCCTGGGCCTCCAGCCGGAGTCTGCGTACACGTCAGGGGTCACACTGACAACGGCTCGCTCTAACAGCGAAGGCTTTCGAAGGACCTCGTTCTCCAGAGCTGAGAACGAGAGAGAGAGAGAGAGAGAGAGAGAGAGACCCAAAACCCCGAATGAAAGATCTATACTAGGAAACATCCGGGTTCCCACTAGTCGTTCATGATTTGTACTAATAATCTAGAATGATTCAACGATTCATTGAAAACAACTTGACTCATTCTGAATGATTCATTTGTGAATCACTGTTTTTTTAAGTTAGTTTGTATTAACGAATCGTTCAAGTGACTTCACATCTCATTCTGAATGATTCATTTGTGAATCACTCTTTTTTTTTAATTTAGTTTGTATTAACGAATCGTTCAAGTGACTTCACATCTCATTCTAAATGATTCATTTGCGAATCAACTCTTTTTTTAATTTAGTTTGTATTAACGAATCGTTCAAGTGACTTCACATCTCATTCTGAATGATTCATTTGTGAATCACTCTTTTTTTTATTTAGTTTGTATTAACGAATCATTCAAGTGACTTTCACATCTCATTCTGAATGATTCATTTGTGAATCACTCTTTTTTTAATTTAGTTTGTATTAACGAATCATTCAAGTGACTTCACATCTCATTCTGAATGATTCATTTGTGAATCACTCTTTTTTTAATTTAGTTTGTATTAACGAATCGTTCAAGTGACTTCACATCTCATTCTGAATGATTCATTTGTGAATCACTGTTTTTTTATTTAGTTTGTATTAACGAATCGTTCAAGTGACTTCATATCTCATTCTGAATGATTCATTTGTGAATCACTGTTTTTTTTTATTTAGTTTGTATTAACGAATCGTTCAAGTGACTTCACATCTCATTCTGAATGATTCATTTGTGAATCACTCTTTTTTTAATTTAGTTTGTATTAACGAATTGTTCAAGTGACTTCACATCTCATTCTGAATGATTCATTTGTGAATCACTCTTTTTTTATTTAGTTTGTATTAACGAATCGTTCAAGTGACTTCACATCTCATTCTGAATGATTCATTTGTGAATCACTCTTTTTTATTTAGTTTGTATTAATGAATCGTTCAAGTGACTTCACATCTCATTCTGAATGATTCATTTGTGAATCACTGTTTTTTTATTTAGTTTGTATTAACGAATCGTTCAAGTGACTTCACATCTCATTCTGAATGATTCATTTGTGAATCACTGTTTTTTTATTTAGTTTGTATTAACGAATCGTTCAAGTGACTTCATATCTCATTCTGAATGATTCATTTGCGAATCACTGTTTTTTTATTTAGTTTGTATTAACGAATCGTTCAAGTGACTTCACATCTCATTCTGAATGATTCATTTGTGAATCACTGTTTTTTTTATTTAGTTTGTATTAACGAATCGTTCAAGTGACTTCACATCTCATTCTGAATGATTCATTTGCGAATCACTGTTTTTTTTAATTTAATTTGTATTAACGAATCGTTCAAGTGACTTCACATCTCATTCTGAATGATTCATTTGTGAATCACTGTTTTTTTTATTTAGTTTGTATTAACGAATCGTTCAAGTGACTTCACATCTCATTCTGAATGATTCATTTGCGAATCAACTCTTTTTTTATTTAGTTTGTATTAACGAATCGTTCAAGTGACTTCACATCTCATTCTGAATGATTCATTTGTGAATCACTGTTTTTTTTATTTAGTTTGTATTAACGAATCGTTCAAGTGACTTCACATCTCATTTTGAATGATTCATTTGTGAATCAACTTTTTTTAATTTAGTTTTTATTAACGAATCGTTCAAGTGACTTCACATCTCATTCTGAATGATTCATTTGCGAATCACTGTTTTTTTTAATTTAATTTGTATTAACGAATCGTTCAAGTGACTTCACATCTCATTCTGAATGATTCATTTGTGAATCACTCTTTTTTATTTAGTTTGTATTAATGAATCGTTCAAGTGACTTCACATCTCATTCTGAATGATTCATTTGTGAATCACTGTTTTTTTATTTAGTTTGTATTAACGAATCGTTCAAGTGACTTCACATCTCATTCTGAATGATTCATTTGCGAATCAACTCTTTTTTTATTTAGTTTGTATTAACGAATCGTTCAAGTGACTTCACATCTCATTCTGAATGATTCATTTGTGAATCACTGTTTTTTTTATTTAGTTTGTATTAACGAATCGTTCAAGTGACTTCACATCTCATTTTGAATGATTCATTTGTGAATCAACTTTTTTTAATTTAGTTTTTATCAACGAATCGTTCAAGTGACTTCACATCTCATTCTGAATGATTCATTTGTGAATCACTCTTTTTTTTAATTTAGTTTGTATTAACGAATCGTTCAAGTGACTTCACATCTCATTCTGAATTATTCATTTGTGAATCACTCTTTTTAGTGTGATTCACTTCGGAATATTTCGTTGTATGAATATTTGAACACGCAATATATCAAAAGAAAGAACCGAATATCTGATTTTATTCTAGATTCAGGCATTTGTTTTTATCAACACTTGAATGATTCATAAAGCCGATAGAATCGTGTGTTCGTCACAGTGTTGGTCCCGATGGGACTGAGAGGATGATCATGAACACAGACTCGATCGCATTATTTTCTATAAAGTGATATCATATGCACGTTTCTGCTTCTGCGCTGTGTTGATCAGGAGATGAGCACTCTTAGGAGAGATGGGTAACAGCGCCCCCTACCGTACCACTGAGAACGACGTTAACGGCGGGGAAAGAGTTAATACAAACTCAATAAAAGAGGGATTCACAAATGAATCATTCAGAATGAGTTGTTTGAGCGATTCACTACGGTTGAGTTTCAGTCGACTCGAGTTCATTACACTGCCCTCTAGCGGCCGTGGGAACCCTGAATGAAGCAACACACACACACACACACACACAAAACACGTGCAAAGGAATCCGAAAGCATTGACAGAAAAGATGAAAGTCAGATCGACAGAAAGGTTGTGTGTGTGTGACGGACTGGAGCGAGTGTGTGGACGAGACCTTGCTGTGTGTGCTGGAGCTGGAGTTGGAGCTGGTGTGTGTGAGCGTTCATCCATGCGGTGCGTTCCTCACACTCCTGCAGCTGAGCCTTCAACAGCACACACTGCTGAGCCTGCACACACACACACACACACACACACACACACACACACACACACACATTAAAAAAGTCATATCTGATATCAAATCATATTATTGTAATGCATTGGAATGATAATGAATAACAATATTAATAATAATTAATATTATTAACTTGAATATATTATTAAAAATTCAAAAAGTAATATAATTTTTTTGAAGGTCATGTTCTTGATATTTTTAGCCGAATTCAGCAAATCTCACAAACTATCTCAGAACTGTGTATCTCACCACAGAGAAAATATCATTACTATTAAATCTAATTTAATAATAAATATGAAGGTAGGGATGGGCAATGATTAATCGCATCCAAAATAAAAGTCTGTGTTTACATAATATATGTGTGTGTAGTGTGTATAATTAATTTGTATATATAAATGCACACACATGTATGTGTATATTTAAGAAAAATGTGTTATTAATATATCAAATATTTATATTTTTATATAATATTAATTATGTATAAATATATATATATAAAGTATATTCATGCAAATATTTCTTAAATATACACATACATGTGTGTGTATTTATATATACAAATTAATTATACACACTACACACACATATATTATGTAAACACAAACTTTTATTTTGGATGCGATTAATCGCGATTAATCATTGCCCATCCCGAAGGTCACAAGTCCATATTCTATTTTTTAAATATGTGTGTGTGTGTGTGTGTGTGTGTATGAACCTTCCTTGTTTCACTTGGTTTTGAAGGTTATGTTCTCAGTGTTTTGTGAGATTCATCTATAAATGTACAGTAATGCTCATGACTGATGCAGACACACACACACACACACACACACACACACACCTCGTGCTGGAGTTGTGTGTGCAGGACGCCTCTCTGTGTCTCGAACTCCTGCTGGTCCAGCGCTCGTGTGTTCTCCAGTCTCCGCAGCTCGGCCTGCAGGACCAGCTCCTGCTCAGACGGGCCCCGGCGCTCTGCACACACACACACACACACACACACACACACACACACCGTTACAAAACAATGAATGTTTGACAGTTTTCAACACTGATAATAATCATAACTGTGTGTTGATCATCAGATCCTCCAATCAGAGTGATGTGTGCAGGGTCATGTGACACTGATGAACACCTTGTGTGAGGCGCAGGTTCTCCTGCCGTTCCTCCTCCAGCTGGATCTTCATGAGTGTGATGTGAGTCTGCAGGTCGTGTGTCTCCTCCTTCAGCGCTGAGTAATCCCTCATGTCCTCCAGCTTCTCTCGGATCAGCTCGTTCTCTCGGGTCAGGACAGACGCCTGCGCTCGGGCCGACTCCAGCTCCATCTGTGGGAATATGTGACTAAGTAACAAAAGTATTTTTTGCAGTGTATATTTGTGGCGATAGTCAATAGTATGGGTCAGAATTATGGATTTTTCTTTTATGCCAAAAATCATTAGGATATTAACCCTCAGGTGCTCTTCGTTTCGGAGTCACACTAAAAGTGACCGGACACCTAAAAATTTAATTTCCTCCATCCCAGTAAAACCAATGCTGTTTATTTTTGTTCTATAATATTTATTCTTTGTAATTTAGTATTTTGAGACAATTTGATTGAATTTAATAATATTTATGCAATATTTATGGTCTATTTTTGCCATGGAAATATATATATAATTTTCTTTATATATATGTATATATTTTTTTTTTTCAAAAAATTATTAATGCAGTATTTTAGTTTAATATAGAGTCTAGGCCTTCAGAAAAAAAATATTTTTTGAAGAAAATTAGCACCATCTGGTTACAGTATAGAGCACTAGATGCACTACTGTAGATGGCATGTACAGCTCTCTATGGAGAGGCATGTGAATTCCCCAGCTGTTTATGAACAAATTTTTTATTTTTTTTTTTGGTGGATTTGAATATACAAACCCGATTCCACAAAAAGTTGGGACACTGTACAAATTTTGAGTAAAAAAAGAATGGAATAATTTACAAATCTCATAAACTTATATTTTATTCACAATAGAATATAAATGACATATCAAATGTTGAAAGTGAGACATTTTGAATTGCCATGCCAAATATTGGCTCCTTTTGGATTTCATGAGAGCTACAAATTCCAAAAAAGTTGGGACAGGTAGCAATAAGAGGCCAGAAAAGTTAAATGTACATATAAGGAACTGCTGGAGGACCAATTTGCAACTTATTAGGTCAATTGGCAACATGATTGGGTATAAAAAGAGCCTCTCAGAGTGGCAGTGTCTCTCAGAAGTCAAGATGGGCAGAGGATCACCAATTTCCCAAATGCTGAGGCAAAAAATAGTGGAGCAATATCAGAAAGGAGTTTCTCAGAGAAAAATTGCAAAGAGTTTGAAGTTATCATCATCAACAGTGCATACTATCATCCAAAGATTCAGAGAATCTGGAACAATCTCTGTGCATAAGGGTCAAGGCCGGAAAACCATACTGAATGCCCGTGATCTTCGGGCCCTGCATCACACACAGGAATGCTACTGTAATGGAAATCACAACATGGGCTCAAGAATACTTCCAGAAAACATTGTCAGTGAACACAATCCACCGTGCCATTCACCGTTGCCGGCTAAAGCTCTATAGGTCAAAAAAGAAGCCATATCTAAACGGGAACCAGAAGCGCAGGCGTTTTCTCTGGGCCAAGGCTCATTTAAAGTGGACTCTAGCAAAGTGGAAAACTGTTCTGTGGTCAGACGAATCAAAATTTGACGTTCTTTTTGGAAAACTGGGACGCCATGTCATCCGGACTAAAGAGGACAAGGACAACCCAAGTTGTTATCAGCGCTCAGTTCAGAAGCCTGCATCTCTGATGGTATGGGGTTGCATGAGTGCGTGTGGCATGGGCAGCTTACACATCTGGAAAGGCACCATCAATGCTGAAAGGTATATCCAAGTTCTAGAACAACATATGCTCCCATCCAGACATCGTCTCTTTCAGGGAAGACCTTGTATTTTCCAACAAGACAATGCCAAAACACATACTGCATCAATTACAACATCATGGCTGCGTAGAAGAAGGATCCGGGTACTGAAATGGCCAGCCTGCAGTCCAGATCTTTCACCCATAGAAAACATTTGGCGCATCATAAAGAGGAAGATGCAACAAAGAAGACCTAAGACAGTTGAGCAGCTAGAAGCCTTTATTAGACAAGAATGGGACAACATTCCTATTCCTAAACTTGAGCAACTTGTCTCCTCAGTCCCCAGACGTTTGCAGACTGTTATTAAAAGAAGAGGGGATGCCACACAGTGGTAAAAACCAACTTTTTTGAGATGTGTTGATGCCATGAAATTTAAAATCAACTTATTTTTCCCTTAAAATTATAAATTTTCTCAGTTTAAACATTTGATATGTCTTCTATGTTGTATTCTAAATATAATATTGAAATTTGAAACTTCCACATCATTGCATTCTGTTTTTATTCACAATTTGTACAGAGTCCCAACTTTTATGGAATTGGGTTTGTATAGTTGAAACAATCTCAAAAAGATTTTTATTTAAAAAAAGGTTTAAAAAAAAAATAAATAAATAAAAATTTGTGATTTTTTTGTGTTTTTGTCAATTTCCCATTCATTTCCTATGGGGGTCATTTTTGACCGAAGACCACAAGTGTGACTAATTTTTTTACGATCACTTAGCATGCTCAGATCATGACCTTAATTTTTTTGTGTGTTCACATACATAATGCCATAAAAGTCACCGAGTTTCGTAACATTTCGAAGAAGCTGTGATTTTTAAAAATTCAAAACATTCTTTTTGTAATCAAAATTTATTGGTGTGTATGTGTATAAAAGTGTGTTTGTATGTGTGTGTGTGTGGGTGAGTTTGTCTGTTTTGCACTCTAGATGTTGTAGAGTGTCACCCCTTTCCTGCGGTGTACTTTTTTTTTTAGAATTGTGGCCGATTTGTAGATTGCACGTATAAAAATTCAGAGATTTTTTTTTTTGTCAATTTCCCATTCATTTCCTATGGGGGTCATTTTTGACCGAAGACCACGAGTGTGACTATTTTTTTTACAATCACTTAGCATGCTCGGATCATGACCTCAATTTTTTTTTGTATACACATAAATAATGCCATAAAAGTCACCAAGTTTCATAACATTCCGATGAAGCTGTGATTTTTAGAAATTCAAAACAGAAAATTTTTCGCTCAAAAATGAGCAAAGAGCGCCTGACGGTTAAGCAAAGATATTCCTTTTAAGATACTTTGTAAATATCCTACGGTAAATATAAAAACATTTCTGATTTTCTGATGTTTCAATATTCAATAGTCATCCTATCCTAACAATCCACACATCAGTGGAACGCTTCTTTACTCCACTTCAGACGCGGGGTTTTGTGGGAAAGAACAGCACATAATGTCTGCGAATAGACCTTTAAAGAGAGAGCATCACTTTGTGTGGTCCAGATGAATTATGGGATCAGATGTGCGTTACCTGCAGACGTTTGACCTCTGATGCGCGTCTCTCGTGCTCTTCTGCTTTAGCATGGATATTAGCGGACTTCTCCTGCAGACGGAGCGTTTCTGCTGCGAACCGGACAGAAGAGCGTTCATTATCAGATCAATAAAACACAACAGCGGTGAATGATGATCCTTCAATACCTCGAACCCTGTCCTCTTGCTCTGCGAGTGTGTCCGTTCTCCTGGTGTAATCCTCCTTCAGCTCCAGCTGACATCTGAAACACATCCAGCACTCTCACTTCATCTCATCAAACACACTGGAGTATTACTCGTTCTCTGTAAAGGGTCATTTATTCCTGAATTTATCATCAGTGTCACATGACCCGTCAGAAGTGATGTGTGATGTTACTTGAGGATCTCGCTGTGCAGTCTCTGCTGGAAGGAGTCCTCCTGGCTCTTCACACACAGCTCTCTCCTCCTCAGGAGATCCTCCACGCTCTTCTGCTTCTCCTCCTGCAGCGCACAGCTCCTGCCATCAACACACACACACACACCTTCAACATTACCACAGTTTATTCACTATAATTAAGAAATCTGAGCAGAACTCAGTGGATATCTGAGTGGTTTTGTCCGTAATATGTCCTGAATTATATTTTTTTTGGTAACCCTATGTTTAATGTTTTATTAAGGTATTCATATTATTAGTGCATTATATATTTTCATAAATTGTAAGCAAAGTAAAAAATGCATTATAATATTTGCAGACTGAAATTTGTTGTTTGTTTGAATGAATTATACTTTCTAAAGGCGTAACATAAGCAGATCGGTGTTATAATAACTGTGGTTACAATTATTCATTAAATCATGCAATGCATTATTAGGTGCACAATTCATGCATTGAAATACTGTCAGAATGCATTAATAATAATAATAATAATAAACTTTATTACAGACTCACCGGTCCAGATAAAAAAAACAAAAAAAAACAGAACATATTACATATACAGGCTTTACGAAAAGCCGTACCATTTTTTAATTGTATATTTTTATTTTCATTTCAGAGTCATTTTTAATTATTTATAATAAATATTAGCACTTAAATTTGACATATTTAACCTTAACTTTAAGTTTTTCCTCTAATATTTCAACTATTAATAAATTAATGTCGGCTTTGTTTCAAGTATTTTTTTTTAAATAGCTTTATTTTATTATTTACTAGTTTACTGATTATCTATCAAGTTCATTGCAAAAATGATTAATAGATTGGAGCCTATATGCAGCCATTGAGCGCTACAGCCGTCTAGCGGATATTGATATTTGTGCTTTTTTTGTTATTTTTATACCAACTTATGTCGTCAGATGTCACCAAAGTCACCAAATGTTTAGGTTTGGGGCTGTCTGAACTTAAAAAAAGAGTGTTTTTATTTTTACTGAAATAAAATAAATATTAAATATAACATAAAAATAACTATATTTTACATTAAAATAAAAAATAGAAAAAACTAAAAAAAACTAAATCTGAGGAAAAAAAAGCATAAATTGATCATTTTATGTTTTCAAAGATGGTGATATGATATTTATTTTGAAAAAAAGAAAAACTGTGATCACCAAATGTTTAGGTTTGGGGCTATCTGAACTTAAAAGAGTGTTTTTATTTTTACTGAAGTAACATAAATATTACATATAAATAACTATATTTTACATTAAAATAAAAAATAGAAAAACCTAAAAAAAAAAGAATCTGAGAAAAAAAAAGCATAAATTGATCATTTTATGTTTTCAAAGATGGTGATATGATATTTATTTTGAAAAAAAGAAAAATTGTGATCACACCAAATGTTTAGGTTTGGGGCTGTCTGAACTTAAAAGAGTGTTTTTATTTTTACTGAAATAAAATAAATATTAAATATAACATAAAAATAACTATATTTTACATTAAAATAAAAAATAGAAAAACCTAAAAATAAAAAAAATCTGAGGAAAAAAAAGCATAAATTGATCATTTTATGTTTTCAAAGATGGTGATATGATATTTATTTTGAAAAAAACTAAAATTGTGATCACACCAAATGTTTAGGTTTGGGGCTGTCTGAACTTAAAAGAGTGTTTTTATTTTTACTGAAGTAACATAAATATTACATATAAATAACTATATTTTACATTAAAATAAAAAATAGAAAGACCTAAAAATAAAAAAAATCTGAGAAAAAAAAAAGCATAAATTGATCATTTTATGTTTTCAAAGATGGTGATATGATATTTATATAGAAAAAAACTAAAATTGTGATCAGCAAATGTTTAGGTTTGGGGCTGTCTGAACTTAAAAGAGTGTTTTTATTTTTACTGAAATAAAATAAATATTACATATAACATAAAAATAACTATATTTTAAATTAAAATAAAAAATAGAAAAACCTAAAAAAAAACTAAATCTGAGGAAAAAAAAGCATAAATTGATCATTTTATGTTTTCAAAGATGGTGATATGATAGTTATTTTGAAAAAAAGAAAAATTGTGATCACACCAAATGTTTAGGTTTGGGGCTGTCTGAACTTAAAAAAAAGAGTGTTTTTATTTTTACTGAAGTAACATAAATCTTACATATAACTAAAAAAACTGCATAAATTGATGGATTTTATTTTATCAAAGATGTTGCTATGACATTTATTTCGAATAAAAGAAACACTGCGTTCAGACCGAGACGTTGGCGTGTGAGCGCTGCTGGTGTAAGGACTCACTTGTCGAAGGCCTGGATCCTGAGCTTCAGCTGCATCTCTCCGCTGCGCACACACTCCATCTCTCTCAGCACGGCTTGTCTCTGAGCATACAGATCCTTTTCCTCGGTCTGGATCGGACAGGTTCATCCCAAGGGTCATCATTGAAGATTAACAGTGGTTTGTATTGACTTTAGTTCTAGTGCTGGGCGCCGGTTTCCTCTCTCACTCAGTAGAGAATGAGGTAAACACCCAGTCACGCTTCAGAAATTAATAATACCGTCATATACAGTGAAACGGGTGTAATTTAGTGTGGTAGCGCCCAGCACTCATTAGATGTGTGTGTGTGTGATGACTGCACCTCCTGTTGTCGCTGTAATCGCTCGATGGCGTTCTTCTCTCGACTCATCAGAGCCTCGGTCTTCAGCTCATACGTTCTCTCCAGGTCTCGTCTCAGCTCCAGGATCTCTCTTCGAGAAGCCTCTTTCTCCTCGCGCTTCACCTTCGCTATCTCCACCTCCATGAAGTGCTGCATCTGCAGGAGACAGGCACACGGACACTTCTACACTCATAAACATGCTTTTCTTTAAGCAACAACTCTCTTCATTTTGAATTATTACCCCAGAAAACAAGAGACAATATATTACGGCATTTTGCTACTTTAGAAAATGCATCTTGATTTAAGCATTTTTAGATATTTGGACTGGAAACAAGACAAAAAAAGCATTTTTTGCAGCGTATGAACTCAGTTCTAGGAACAAGCAACAAGAGTGATTGCCCGAGAACTGATTAGGACACACTAAGTGTTTGGGTAGTTGTAGTTTTACCCAGCTCCTGGGTCAGATGTTTGGGTAGTGTAGTGTTCCTGCAGACCTTTGCGTTGAGCTCGAGCTGCGCCTGCTCCTGGATCTCCTTCCTGAACTCCGCAAGCTTCGCCTCGATGGACGGCCAGCGCTCTCCTCTGTGCCGGAGCACTTCATACTCCTCGTCGATCAGCTGCATCTTCTCAACTTAAAAATACAATAAAAAATACTGTGAAAATTGTGAAATATTATTCCAATGTAAAACAGCTAATATAGTAGTGTAATTTATTCCTATAATCAAAGCTGAATTTATATTTATTATTTTTGATTTATATTATCATAAATAGAGTAACATTTTTGAAATATCATTAAAATATTATTATTATTATGAAAAATGAAAGTGCACATTTTTGGCTAGTTTATAGCATTTAATATCACAGAAAAGATTGGAATCATGATTATATATATAGAAACATATATTATAGAAATATATTATAGATATATATTATAAATATATTATATTATAGAGGATTATATATATATATATATATATAGAAATATATATGTATAAGAGTTGAAATTTTTACTATGTTTTATTTTATTTATTTAACCTTTGTTTAACCAGGTAAAATCAGTTCTCATTTACAACTGCGACCTGGCCAAGACAAAGCGAAACAATGCAACGAAAAACAACAACACAGAGCTAGACATAGGAATAAATAAACATACGAAATAAAAAAAAAAAATAATCTATATATATATAAAAAAAAAAATCATAATATAGTACAAAATACAATTAATTGTAAAAATGTATAACAAACATGCAAAAAAAAAAAAAAATGTTTTACTATTGCAGACACTTTTTGAAAGCCAAAATGTTTAAAGTCCCCCAGTGGTTACGAAGAAGGAATTTTATATATTTATATATATATATATATATATGTGTGTCATTTTGGTGATCAGAGATGAGTTTTAAGTGATCAGATGATTGCCTACAGGGGGACTTGAATGAACTGCTGAAATGAACGCTCTCCACAAGGAACATGTGATATTGAGTGTGAGACGTGACGGATGTGAAGGCTTACCCAGAGACTCCTTATGCGCAGATATAGAGGAGGTTTGTGTCGACGTGTCACAGCAGTTTCTGTCCGTCAGCTCCGTGAAGAGGCTCATCAGGAAACCTGTCGGGTTACACCACATCCATCACAGAGAGCAGATCCTGGAACAACTCACACTTTACAACATGCAATTCTGACTTTAGAAAACACAATTTTTACTTTATACATGAATTAATTCTGACTCCAAATGACGCAATTGTGACTATATAATGCAATTGCAACTATTAAACAAAGCCCGATCTCATGAAAGTTCGTGTCTATGGCACGAATGTCATTTCTCGTGGCATTTATACGCCAAAAACAGTTTTTGCGTGTATTTGGCACGCGATTTTCGCGTACATATGATACGCACTTTTTTGCGTATAATACGCACGAATTACCCACCCCCCTCCCCCCTAAACCTAACCCAGGGTTTTTTAGTGCGTACCATATACACGAAAAAAACACTTTTGGCGTATAAATGCCACGAGAAATGACACTCGTGGTATAGATACGCATCTTCAAATTCTGACTTTATATCACGGATTTGCAACTTTATATAACGCAATTACGACTTCATATCATGCACTTGCAACTAACACAATTCTGGCTTTATGTCACGCAATTTTTACTTTATATAACGCATTTCTGACTTTATATCACACAATTGCACTTTATATAATGCAATTTTATTAAATAATAATTTAAAAAAAAAATAATTTAAATAATAAAATTTTGACTATATAACATTTTTTACTTTATATAACATTTTTTACTTTCACTTTATATAATGCAATTTTAACTTTAAATAATGCAATTCTGACTTTATATCTCACAATTCTGACTTTATATCTCGCAATTCTGACTTTATATCATGCAATTGCACTTTATATAATACAATTTTAACTTTATATCATGCAATTGCACTTTATATAATACAATTTTAACTTTATATCATGCAATTGCACTTTATATAATACAATTTTAACTTTATATCATGCAATTGCACTTTATATAATACAATTTTAACTTTATATCATGCAATTGCACTTTATATAATACAATTTTAACTTTAAATAATGCAATTTTGACTTTAAATAACAGATTTTTTACTTTATACAACACATTTTTGACTTTCACTTTATATAACGCAATTTTAACTTTATATAACGCAATTGCGACTTTATAAAATCAATTTATAAAATCAAAGGAGAATCATTTTAGAGATGAAGCATGTTAATATATTTTGAAAAAAATAAAAATTTAAAACAATAATGTGGACACGCAAAGATGAATCGTTTTTAATGTTTCTAATGACTACTTTTTGAAAGCCAAAATGTTTAAGTCCCCCTGTGGTGTAAATCCAGTTTTTTTTAAGTTGTTTATGTGTGTATGTGGTGTTTTTAATCCGCTTTAACACACACTATGTGTAAGTTGATAAGTGGACAGCATTGCTGAGTATTTCCTCAGTGAACCAAAGACAGTCTCAAAAACACGCTTTGGTGTTTCTGACGTCACAAACCACCTTGTAACCAATCAGATCAACCAGTGAATCTCTGATTGAGTGGAGGCGGAGCTCATTTGCATATTTATAGAACCGTGCATACTAAATGAGGCGAGGGTGTCGAGTTACCTTTTTTACAAGAAAAAAACATTTAAACGTAATTGTGGCGATCAAAGATGAGTTTGAGGGATAAAGTGATGGACTGCAAGGGGACTTTAAGCAAAGTTGTGAAATAAAAAGATATTTAATTGTATCTGCATCTTATCATGACCTACCCGTCTGTCCCGACTGGATATCTGAAACCTGCCGAATGTGAACGAGAAACAGAGGAATGTGTCACACAAAACAACAACTGATCCAACAAATATAGTAAAGCGTATGTTTGATTACCAGAGCTCTGTGTAACGGTGTGTGAGGACTGATCTTCAGGAGCTGCAGAACGTCTCGGCTGGAGAACACCTGAAACTCAAACATATTACACTATTTTATTACACGGCTCTGTGGAATACTGGATTCTGATTGGTCAATCACACATTCAGAGGTGTATTATTCCCAGATAACAGCAGAAACACGCACTCGTCCGGTCACTGTAGACATCACACTCGCTAGGAACAGGTTTTCTCAGAATAAACCCCTTCAGGTGTGTGTGTGTGTGTGTGTGTGTGTGTGATCACCGTGTCTCTGCTCATCCCGCACTCGGGGAGGAAGACGGAGAGTGTGTACTCGTATCCAGCGCTCCGCAGATGATCCGCCACCACACTGTTGCACGCAGTGACCAACACCGAGTGTGTGTGAGGAGCCGGGTCTCCTGTCGGCCGCTGCAGGTCCTGGATCAGCTGATTACGCAGTTGTGTCTGCAAAACAGGACACACTCAGCTACTGGAGGAGGAAGTGTTTGATTTGTATTGTATTATATATATATGACCCCCTCGAAAACGAGATGATCCATGATCCATCTCAAGGGGTTTATCCTATTCAATAAACTTATAATCAATCAATACAGGCTTGTGCAGATTGAACATACGATTTTGAGTTTTAGGATCAGGTCTCTCAACCCTGAATGTGACACACTCGTTTCTTAACACAGAGAGAGAGAGTGTGTGTGTGTGTGTGTAAGCATGGACAGATAGACAGATATACAATAGATAAACAGACAAATATAGATAGATAGATAGATAGATAGATAGATAGATAGATAGATAGATAGATAGATAGATAGATAGATAGATAGATAGATAGATAGATAGATAGATAGATAGATAGATAGATAGATAGATAGATAGATAGATAGATAGATAGATAGATAGATAGATAGATAGATAGATAGATACTGATGTGTCGTAACGTTACCTTCAGGGTGTCCAGCAGCCCGCGGCTCTTGAAGGTCTGGTAAAGTTTCTGTCGCATCTCATCCGGGGATAAACTCTCCTCTTTACTCACAGACATGATTACTGAAATTAATAAACACTATCATTCATGATAATCGATCCAACATCGATAATTCTCCACAGTCGGTTCCTCAGCAACACGACCGCGCGCAGCGTCTCCTTTAAAATCTCTAACTGACAACAAACTCTTGTGCATCCGGTTTCGTTGTTATGACGAATGACGCATTCAGTCCTCTCATTGGCCGTTTGTGTCAGGGCACCGGAAACAGGAACTCTGTCCACACAGTACGCGGATGGTCCTCATCTGCTGTAGTATTATTCTTCCTATTCGCTTTGTGAATTATGCAATTATTTATTTATTTAAAGAAGATGTGTTGTTAGAATGTGCCATTTGATAAAGAATCCAAACTAACGTCATTATTCCCGCGGTAAGATCGTGTTGTGCGTATTCTTCCGTGTTTACATGTCGAGGATTGTCGATAACTGACTGTTGGTTTCATGTCCACAGCTCTAAACACTGACGAGTCACGATGTCTGGGAGTTTTTATTTCGTCATGGTGGGTCATCATGATAATCCAGTGTTTGAGATGGAGTTTCTCCCTCCTGGAAAGACAGAAGCAAAGGTGGGCATGATGACGTCACTGATACCTGACAATTCATGCTACCCATCGAGATTTGCTACTTACCGGTTATGCGCATGTGCAGACTCTTTGACAAGTCAAAGATGAATATTTTATGATCATTTTTACTTTTCACACCGTTTTAAAAATAAAAACAGTAGTCTACAGTATACAGTTGCTACTCATAACTTAGAATTGTATTATAATTGTATTTCATACGACTTTAATCGGCATTCTGTGATCAATTCGCGCTACGGTAGCATTTTTCGACAAGGCAGCAATAATTGGCAGAACACCGGTGACCGATCGGTTTATGACATCAAAGTAGCGCCAGAGCGATTGCAAAGCATACGGACCCGTCTGCTCTCTGATCGCGGTATTTTGATGTTATTCATCGATCGACTGTGCAGCGATGGTTCAAGTCCAACAAGCCTAACATGATGATGATGTCACTGATTCCTGACAACATGATGATGATGTCACTGATACCTGACGTGATGGTCTCATCAAACAGTGAGCTGATGATGACGACAATGTCATCAAACAGTGAGCTGATGATGATGACGATGTCATCAAACAGTGAGCTGATGATGTCATCAAACAGTGAGCTGATGATGACGATGATGTCATCAAACAGTGAGCTGATGATGACGATGATGTCATCAAACAATGAGCTGATGATGACGATGTCATCAAACAGTGAGCTGATGATGTCATCAAACAGTGAGCTGATGATGACGATGATGTCATCAAACAGTGAGCTGATGATGACGATGTCATCAAACAGTGAGCTGATGATGACGATGATGTTGTTAAACAGTGAGCTGACGCTGATGTCACTGAACAGTGAGCTCATGCTGATGTTGCTGATGATGATGATGATGATGGTGTGTGTACTGTACTCCTCCGGCAGGATGATCACCGGCACCTGAACCAGTTCATCGCTCACGCCGCGCTGGATCTGGTGGACGAGAACATGTGGCAGTCCAGCAACATGTACCTGAAGACCGTGGACAAGTTCAACGAGTGGTTCGTCTCCGCCTTCGTCACCGCTGGCCATATCCTCCTCGTCACATGACGCATTACTGAACACACTGGGATGGGCAGCGATTAATCGCATCCAAAATAAAAGTTTGTGTTTACATAATATATGTGTGTGTACTGTGTATAATTAATTTGTATATATAAATAGAAATACCCACACATGCATGTATATATTTTAGATATATTTATTCACAATTAATATTATATATAAATATAAATATTTGATATATTAATAACACATTTTTTTTAAATATATACATGCATGTGTGGGTATTTCTATTTATATATACAAATTAATTATACACAGTACACACACATATATTATGTAAACACAAACTTTTATTTTGGATGCGATTAATCGTTGCCCATCCCGACTCCTAACCCTCCGATCAACGATCACTGTAATGAACCGTGTGTGTGTGTATTCCTTAACTGTACTCTCACACATATGAGATTTATAATGCTCCACGACGTCCGGCAAGAGGACGGCATCAAGAACTTCTTTAACGATGTTTATGATCTGTACATCAAGGTAAGTCGTGCATACTTCACTACCACGTGAACACATCGCACCGGTTTTAACACGTTAACATGTGTGTTTTTCCCCAGTTTGCAATGAATCCCTTCTATGAAGCCAACGCGCCGATCCGCTCCACAGCCTTCGACAGGAAAGTGCAGTTCCTCGGGAAGAAGCATCTCCTCGGCTGATCCGCTTCACACACACACACACACACTCTTCTGTTCATTGTGTTTCAACATTGGGATGTGTATTTCATGTTTATAAGCTGATGGTGTCGGAGTGCTAAAATACATTAAAAGATGAAGATTTGTACATTATTAAATGAATTAAAATAAACACTTTCAACGAGTATTGTTCCATACTTTTTTAATTTCAATTTTACAATTTACAATGTTAAGATTTTAATGCATTTTTTCAAAGTAGGTGCTTATACTCTCCACATTATTATCCATGGTTTAGTACAAGTACTTAGTATATATTTGGCACACGCTACACTATTTTGTAATGTTAATATATTAGAAATCCACCAGAGAGTATGAACGCCTGCGCACGTTAATATCCGAGTCTCGTTTTCCAGTATAAATATCTGAAAATCCATCAAACTGGAGATGTTTACTAGACAAGCATAACGGCATATGATATATTAAGACTAGTTTCAGTAAATTACACAAACTTTGTCAATGAGGTAAGAAAAATACACATGATCCAACACAGAAGTTCTTCCTCGCATCGTTTTCCAGCACAAACCTTCAGAAATCAAGACCCATGTACTGGAGAAAAGTGTATTTTCTGACTCCACTGGCAGATATATGTTCATGTTTTAAGCTCAAACTCATTCTTGCTACAAATCTTCAGTCATATAGCTTGTTCTCCAGGTAATGCGTCTTGATTTATGAACGTTCAGATGTTTGTACTGGATCAAGTAGATTCCATTTGTTTTAATGAGGTTTCGATATATTTAAAATGGAAAACAAAAGCCTTGTGCATTCCTTACATTTGCTCTTGTTCACTATCACTCTCATGCTGAACATCCGTCACCCACTCGAACCCCATTAGAGAGATAAATATATATATATATATAAACATCCGAATGCTGAGAATCGTCACCCAAAATGAAACCAAACCAGTGTTTAGTGCATATTAAAGTGCGTGCATGTTCAAAACATAACGCGGACTCATTGAAGAAACGCTTCCCGCGGATTAGCAGCACGGCGAGGATCCGCGCGGCTTTCTGTGCAGGTTAACGGTGTCTGTAGGAATCAAGTGCTCGTGTCGATCCTCCAAAGCCAAGACTCGTCTCACGGCTTCCTCGAATGCATCCGCCACATTCGTAGCATCTTTAGCGCTAGTCTCGAAGTACGGGTATCCGCCGCTGTCCCGGCACCACTCCTGAGCTTCTTCGCTCGACACTTGCCTCTCACTCACGTCCACTTTGTTTCCCAGAAGCACGAACGGGAAGCTTTCGGGCTCCTTGACGTCCGCGTAATAGATGAACTCCTTCTTCCAGTTGACGAGGTTGTGGAAGCTCTGGCTGTCGTCGACGCTGAAGGTTAGCAGGCAGCAGTCGGAGCCGCGGTAGAACGGCGTCCGCAGGCTCCGGAAGCGTTCCTGTCCCGCCGTGTCCCAGATCTGAAGCGTGACCGTACGCCCGTCCACCTCCAGGTCCTTGTTGAGGAACTCCACGCCGATGGTGTGGAAGAGGTGCGCGTCGAACTTGTTGGTGACGTAGCGGTTCATTAGCGAACTCTTGCCCACGCCGCCGTCGCCCAGGAGAATCACTTTCAGAAGGGAGGATTTGGATGACATGGTGGTTGTCCTCGTCCTGTAAAACTGAAGACTTGGCTTTAATTAAGATTTTTATGTTTTTTAAGGATGCATTTATTTGATCAAAATACAGTAAAAATTGTGAAATATTATTCGAATTTAAAACAGCTGTTTTTTATGTGAATATATAGTTCAATTTAATATATTCCTGTGATCAAAGCTGAATTAATTTGATCAAAAATACAGTAAAAATTGTGAAATATTATTCGAATTTAAAACAGCTGTTTTTTATGTGAATATATAGTTCAATTTAATATATTCCTGTGATCAGAGCTGGATTTATTTGATCAAAAATACAGTAAAAATTGTGAAATATTATTCGAATTTAAAACAGCTGTTTTTTATGTGAATATATAGTTAAATTTAATATATTCCTGTGATCAAAGCTGAATTAATTTGATCAAAAATACAGTAAAAATTGTGAAATATTACTCAAATTTAAAACAGCTGTTTTCTATGTGAATATGTAGTAAAAGTTGATTTATTCCTGTGATCAAAGCTGAATTAATTTGATCAAAAATACAGTAAAAATTTGTGAAATATTATTTAAATTTAAAACAGCTGTTTTCTAAGTGAATATATACTCAAATTTAATATATTCATGTGATTAAAGCTGAATTTATTTGATCAAAAATACAGTAAAAATTGTCAAATATTATTCAAATTTAAAATAGCTATTTTCTATGTGAATATATACTCAAATTTAATATATTCCTGTGATCAAAGCTGGATTTATTTGATCAAAAATACAGTAAAAATTGTGAAATATTATTTAAATTTAAAACAGCTGTTTTCTATGTAAATATATAGTCAAATTTAATATATTCCTGTGATCAAAGCTGGATTTATTTGATCAAAAATACAGTAAAAATTGTGAAATATTATTTGAATTTAAAACAGCTGTTTTCTATGTGAATATGTAGTAAAAGTTGATTTATTCCTCTGATCAAAGATGGATTTATTTGATCAAAAATATAGTAAAAATGTTGAAATATTATATCAATGTAAAACAGCTGATTTTTATCATTATTATCAATGTTGAAAACTGTTGATATTTTTGTGGAAACCGTCATTTATATTTATATTATAAGATTATATTTCAAATAAATGTTGAACTTTCTATTCATCAAAGAATCCTGAAAAATAAACTTTGACATTTCCACAAAAAAAAAAAAAAACATTTTCAACACTGATGATAATAATAATAAATGTTTGTTGACCATCAGATCCTCATATTAGAGTGATTTCTGAAGTATCATGTGACACTGAAGACTGGAGTAATGATGATAAATTCAGCTTTGATCACAGGAATAAATTACACTTTACTATATATTCACATAGAGAACAGATGATTTACACTGGAATAATATTTCACAATTTTTACTGTAAATTTGCACATATACTCAATTATTGGAGGTTTAGCGTTATGAATGTGTCGCTTACCTTCACTGCCTCGAATAATTCATCGCTCAAAATCTACAAGAGAGAGTTGCTGAATTAGAGATATGACCCAGCGTACTGGACTGACAGTGAAACTACGCTCTATGCAGTGGAATTTTAATGTTGGTGTTGTTTGCATAAATTATTCAACACTTTACAGTAATTCATGCAGAGATGCTTTACAGAAATATTTCATTTCATTATTATTCATCATGCATGTTGTAGTGCAGTGATAATTTACTTAAAAAGTACTATTGGCCGATCTTTACAACTCTAGATATATTTATCCTCTGATATGCATTATGATTATTGCTATGAATGATCATCATTATGAGTGTAAATGAGCGCAGACTCACAGTGGTTTGCTCTCAGCCGCTGGTCATGTGATCTTCTCTGTCCTGCATCACATGCAACACAGACAAACTTTAACCAGATGGAATGGACACACACACACACACACACAAACCCGACCCCTAAACCTACCCATCACACACATCCGACCCCTTAACCTACTCATCTCTCTCTCTCTCTCTCTCTCTCTCTCACACACACACACACACACACACAACTACACTAACATTTACAAAAAAAACTGTATGATTTGTTTCTTCACTTTAGTTCCACAGTGACACGAGTCCCCATGAGTGTGTGTGCATTCAAGTTTAAGTCTCCACTAGGATAAAAATATATATCCTAAATACACACACACACACACACACACACACTCTCTCTCTCTCTCTCTCTCTCTTTCTTTCTTTCTTTCTCTCTCTCTCTCTTTTTCTCTCTCTCTCTCTCTCACACACACACACACACTTATTTTGGGATGAAATACGAGCCGTTTCATTACTTTCACCTTTAACTTGTTTACAGAGTTTCTGCGACAAGAATTAACCGTTTAACAAACCAAACGACGTCATTCCAGTGAAGAAACTCAAACCCACACACACACACAGCCGTTGTGTTTAACAGAGTCACTGACCCGAAGACAGTCATAAGGAAATAAACACAGATCCGTGTGTAAAACAGCGATTGAGTCTCACCTGAAGCTGCTTCTGGACACATTAGTCTTCAATAACCGCAAATATCGATTCCATAAACAGAAACAAAACAAGCAATAAAGCGAAACATGACGAGTTCGAGGACTCTTCCTCTGATCGCTGATGGTGCCACAATCCTGCGATCCTATTGGCTGGTGCGTGTCACGTTACCACACAACTCACAGTTGATCACGTGATGTGTTGCTACATCAACAGAAGGGTTTCAGGCCCAGTGGCCCACATTCACACTGTGTTACATATTCTGTGATTACATTTTAGTCTAAAACTATTATTAACATAAATATATATTTAGGATATGATAGAACCTCAGAGCTCATGGTAAAGTAGGAGAAAAGTAAAGTAAAATAGGAGAGGAATAATTGTCTAAACCGACTAAACTACTGAAAGAGATGCTTCCAGAGGTCATAGATCCTCTTCTTAATATCATTAATTAACCAAAAACTTTTAAGCTGGCTATTATTAAACCTCTTATTAAACAAACGCAACTTGATCCTACAGAATAAGTTAAAGGGTTAGTTCACCCAAAAATGAAACTTCTGTCAGTATTTCCTCACCCTCATGTTGTTCCAACCCCGTAAGACCTTCGTTCATCTTCGCAACACAAATTAAGATATTTAAGATATTAAGATCACTCCTGCATACTAGTCCATAGGCTTCTTGAGGGAATGACTCTTGCTGGCATCGAAAACTCATTAAAGACATCGTTAAATAGTCCAAGTGACTACAGCGGCTCAATCTTAACTTTATCAAACGACGAGAACACTTTTATTTTGTGCGCAAAAAAACAACAAAAATAACAACTTTATTTCAACTATTCACTTCCTTCTCCATGGGCCTGTAGTCAGTTAACGTAGTGTGATTGCGTAGAGCTACGTCACACGAAGGCTCACTATTGGCCGACGCTGGTCATGTGTGTGATGCGTGTGACGTACAATAACAGAAGCTTACGCTATTAAGCTAGTAACCTGACTCGCGCACATAGACATATACACTAGACCTCATCTTGGGGCTCTAAGCATGCGTTAAAACCGCCGCCATCTTGGAACAGGGGTCTTGTCATAGGAAGTAGCTAGGTAACGCTGCTATCTTTGCCTTTACGTCGAATTCATTGATGGTGGCGGACTTTTGTGCAGCGTATGATGTTCACGGATGAAATCTGAAGTAGGAAGAATGTTTAAAAAAAAAATTTTTTTTTTTTCTTTCTGGAATCAATAATAAATACATGTCTGACCGTTGGAACAAACCAAAAAAACAAGAAAAATTGCATTCATGATGATTTATGGTGATTTTATTTGCGTTAGACCTGTGTCTACTACATTGACGCTGATGCATTAAAGTGGAGATGGCGGCTCTATTGACGCATTCGTTCCAATGAACTGCCGTATCCAAGGTGAGGTCTAGTATATATGTCTATGACTCGCGCAGAGGGAGAAATAAACCAACAGTTGAAATAAAGTCGTTATTTTTGTTGTTTTTTGAGCACAAGTGTTCTCGTCGTTTGATAAAGTTAAGATTGAGCCGCTGTAGTCACTTGGACTATTTTAAAGATGTCTTTAATGAGTTTTCGATGCCAGCAAGAGTCATTCCCTCAAGAAGCCTATGGACTAGTATGCAGGAGTGATCTTAATATCTTAAATATCTTAATTTGTGTTCTGAAGATGAACGAAGGTCTTACGGGGTTGGAACAACATGAGGGTGAGGAAATACTGACAGAATTTTCATTTTTGGGTGAACTAACCCTTTAATAACAGGCCAATCTCGAATCTGCCTTTTCTGTCAAAGATACTGGAAAAAGCAGTATCCTCACAACTGTGTTCCTTTCTAGAAAGAAATGATATCTGCGAGGACTTTCAATCAGGATTAAGACCACACCATAGTACAGAGACAGTTCTCATTAGAGTCACACATGATCTGCTCTTGTTGTATTTCTCTATTAGTGTTACTCGATCTTAGTGCTGCATTCGACACAATTGACCACAACATTCTTTTAAATAGACTAGAAAACTATGTCGGCATTAGTGGATCTGCATTAGCATGGTTTAAATCATACTTATCTGACCGTTATCAGTTTGTAGCAGTAAATGAAGAGATCCATCCATCACAAGTTCAGTATGGCGTACCACAAGGCTCAGTAGTAGGACCGCTGCTGTTCACTCTGTACATGCTGCCATTATGAGATATCATTAGGAAACATCACTGCTGATGATACCCTGTATATTTCTTCAAAACTCACAAAATTAACGGAATGCATAACTGATATAAAAAACTGGACAATTAGTAATTTCATACAACTAAATTGTGAAAAAAAACTGAGTTTTGATTGGACCAAAAAGCTGGAACAATCTTCCTAACATTGAAGCAGACACACTCTGTCCGTCCAAATCTAGACTAAACACACATCTCTCTGGCCTAGCACACACATAGGGAATTATATATTCCTATTATTCAAATCAGTTAGTCAAATAATATGATATGATCAGCCTAAATATCAGTTTCTGACAATGATTATTCATTTGAAATGAAACAATATGAACAGAAGTGTAAAAAAGGTAAATCTCTTTCAACTTTTTAATGTAAAGCAAAATGTACAGCCGTTATAATGTTACAATGTTAATATAATCATACAAACAGTGAATGATGTATACCGACAAACTGATCAGAAAACACACAATCTCAATATATTCTACAGTAAAGGTCAGTCTCCTTGTTCTCGCGTGTTTCGAGACTCGAGTCTTTCGTTGGTGTTGAGCAGTGTTGTAGTCGAGACCACCTCACTCGAGTCCGAGTCGAAACAGAGACCAGTGAGGGTTGATTACCTAATTTACTTTAATTTACTCAGAGAAATCCTTTTTTTTTACTGAATTTACTTAGAGTTTAAAAAATATGATCAGTTTAGGGGTAAAAAGGCCACATAGTAGGTGGTGTTAAAAGTAATTTTATTACAATTTGTCATGCGCAGTTGCGCACTAGAAAATCACCAATCACTGGGCGTGTCAATCAATTTAAAGAAATATTTTATTAACATACATTAATAATCATGAAAAATATTTTTAATTGAACTCGAGTGGACTCGGGAATAAGTCCGAGTCCTAAAAAAAAAAATGTTCGAGTACGAGTCAATTCCGAGTCCAAATGGACACGAGTCCATGACAAGACCAAGACCATTAAAATATGGTCTCGAGACCGAGTCCGAGACGAGTCCGAGTCTCGAGTACTACAACACTGGTGTTGAGAAGCTTTAATGAGGTGAAGTCCTACAAGATGTGTGTTTTCCCGTCTGAACAGCGTCCCGAGAGCAGAAGCACGTGATCCAGAGCGATCTCTCCACTGACGGACCGGCCGCGCTCAGCCTCGAACACCACCTGAACACACACACATCATCACACCTGAACACGCATGTCATCATCATCATTCACATTTTCCCCTGAGAGTGTCCGGAGCTCACGTCACGGCTCAGGTTTAGATCCGCTCAGACCTGTGAGATGAAAGTGTGTTATTCTGAGTGTGTGTGCGCTCTCACCGCGACGGGTCGGGTCTGGGTCTCGGTCCCGCTGACGCTGATCTTCTCGGATCTTCTCCAGCCGTGAGTGTGTGTCGGCCCGCTCTCCCACAGCGCAGACTCACTGTCGTCCAGCTTGACCCGTAAGGTGTTCTGCGGACCCCGGATGAGATAGTCGAACGTGACACAGAAGCTGCTCTGCCGCATGTGATCGTCCAGCAGCAGCTTCAGCCTGGACACCTCGGGCCGGACCCCCGCCGGGCCCTCCAGAGCCAGGTGATACTCTCTCCCTGAAGGAGACACAACAGAACCAGAACCAGTGAGATCCGACCACGGGGAGCACTACACCTTTACTGGGAACTGCCTTTACGAGGAAATCTAACGCAACACTGTCTGTGTGTGTGTGTGTGTGTATTTATATGTATTTGTGTGTGTGTGTTAAAATATATGATTAAATACATTTAAATATTAATATCTTGATATATATATATAAATAAAGTTAAAATAAATTATTAAAATAACTAAATAAAAATGATTAAAAATGAATGAAATAAACTTAAATATGAATATCTTAATAACACACATACATACATATACATAAACATAAATATATATATATATATATATATATTAGGGCTGTGCAAAAATTAATTGCGATTAATCGCACATCCAAAATAAAAGTCTGTGCTTACATAATATATTTGTGTGTGCTGTATATAATTAAGAAAATGTGTTATTCATATATAAAATATTTATATTTATATAATATAGATTATGTATTTATATATATATATATATATATATATATATATATACAGAATTTAAGCGCAAATAATTCTTAAATATATACATGCATGCATAGGTATTTATATATACAAAACAATTATATACAGCACACACAAATATATTATGTAAACACAGACTTTTATTTTGGATGCGATTAATCGCAATTAATTTTTGCACAGCCCTAATATATATATATAATGAATAAGTAATCTAAAACAATATTAATATTATTTGTCACTTATATATTTAATTTGTAATAAATGTAAGTGACTAAATATTAATGTAGTTACTTTAACATTTAATTATTTTGCACTATTCTTTTTTATTTTTTTTTACTTTATTTAAATTAAACATGGAAAATGTTTAGCCATAAGCTGTCAGTATATTTGAAAGCAAAACATATTCACTAAAAAATAAAATATTAAAGGGACTAAAATAACAATGGTTAAAAATGTATAAAATTATATTAATACAAAATATTATTACACAATTAATATCTTTATATATAAAGATATATTTTAATTTTAATATATATTTTTAAGATTACTTTATTCATTTCGATTACACTTTATAAATATTTCATTTTTAATACATATTTCATTCTTAACATGACTAAATACAATTTACTTTAATATGAAGTTATTTTACAGTACTAATATTTTATTTTATTGTAATTAAACATGTAAAAGGTTTACCCATTCAGGCAGCGATGTCATAATCATAATCATAGCGGTCAGTGTTAGCCTCTGGTTCTGTACCGTTTTCATGATACTTGATGGTCCAGTCCAGATCATCCTCGTGGTCCTGAACCCACTCACACGCTCCCCGGTCAAAGTCACAGTCGGCCAGGAGCCCTGATCCCAGAACAGACGTCAGCTCTGAACGTTCACAACACAAGCGTCTCTGTGGAGTCTAAGAGTCTCTTACTTTCCTTCAGCGGCGCCGCTCGGATCTCCTCCGGCTCGGGTCCGGGATGATACGCGGGCACCAACTCATCTGAAACTGCACAGGAAACACACGGACGGGCATGAGCAGGGTTAGAGAGCGCATCATTACAGACACTTTCATATTATCCTCCACTCAATTATGTCTAATAACCAGATGTCGGATGCTTTTTTTATAGTCCTTATCAGGACATGTGTAGTCGTGTACAAAATATGCCTTTGTCCACATAACATTTATATAGCCTATCTATGTACATTTCAGCTTATCAAATTCTATATAGATTTTAAATATATTCAATCTGTGAAGCAAATAAATTCTATTTCGATTTTGAATATTTTCAGGAGGAGGGGCTTCATAGAGACAGGAAGTAAACAGAGCGTTCCTGACAGACTGGGCAGAGAGGAGCCGCATCAATGGAGAATATGAGGACACTACAGGCGGAAACTTGTCTGCACTTTCAGAGACGGAGGATAATTGCGAGAGCGACGGATGAAAGACTGAAACAGCTGTTCTGCAGAACCATAATAAACGGCTCCGGGTCTTTCCGGACGATCCTTCCTCTGGGAATGATGATGGATTTCCCCGTTTGAGCTTGTGTGTGTGTGTGTGTGTGTTTCTCTCGGGCCGGGCGTATCTCTAACACACACACAGACGGGATTCTGCAGTTTAGAGAAACAAGTGTGTTTCCTCAAACATATGCTTTATGTCCATCCAGCACTTTATTGGGCGTTTCTCCTGCAGTTATTGATCATGTGACAGCGCGATCGATCGCTTCTGTGAGCTAACTCTATAATACAGCCATTAGTGTGTTATTGAGTGTGAATAGAGTTCACCGGCGTGTTGTGGGTCGGTTACACTACACTGGTGTTGAATGGGAATACAGGAGTGACCTCTGACCCCTGATCTGACCCCCAATCTGACCCCCTGATCTGACCCCCGATCTGACCCCCAATCTGACCCCCAATCTGATGCCCAATCTGACCCCTGATCTGATCCCCAATTTGACCCCTGATCTGACCCCCAATCTGACCCCTGATCTGACCCCCGATCTGACCTCCGATCTGACGCCTGATCTGACGCCCGATCTGACCCCCGATCTGACGCCTGATCTGACCCCTGATCTGACCCCCGATCTGACCCCCTGATCTGACCCCCGATCTGACCCCCTGATCTGACCCCCGGTCTGACCCCCAATCTGATGCCCAATCTGACCCCTGATCTGACCCCCAATTTGACCCCTGATCTGACCCCCAATCTGACCCCTGATCTGACCCCTGATCTGACCCCCGATCTGACCTCCGATCTGACGCCTGATCTGACCCCTGATCTGACCCCCGATCTGACCTCCGATCTGACGCCCGATCTGACCCCCAATCTGACCCCTGATCTGACCCCTGATCTGACCCCCGATCTGACCTCCGATCTGACGCCTGATCTGACCCCTGATCTGACCCCCGATCTGACGCCTGATCTGACCCCTGATCTGACCTCCGATCTGACCTCCGATCTGACGCCTGATCTGACGCCCGATCTGACCCCCGATCTGACGCCTGATCTGACCCCCGATCTGACCCCCGATCTGACGCCTGATCTGACGCCCGATCTGACCCCCGATCTGACGCCTGATCTGACGCCCGATCTGACCCCCAATCTGACGCCTGATCTGACCCCCGATCTGACCCCCAATCTGACGCCCGATCTGACCCCCGATCTGACTAGTTTAATAAACACTTATTTCATGAGCATTTCCCTCCTGCAACCACATCAACGCTGCTCTCCTCGCGGGAAATATTAATATCGGGAATGTGTTTGGGAAGGGGAAGTTTACTACGTCTCCCTGTCGGTACATGTACAGTAGATATCCATATACAGCTACTGTACGGCTCAGTCCCAGCATGCCCTGCAAACAGACCCTCTCGTCTTAGGAATCACAGGAATAAATTACACTTTATTATATATTCACATAGAAAACAGATGATTTACATTGGAATAATATTTAAATAATAATAATATTTAAAAAATGTACTGTATTTTTTTTTTATAACCAAATAAACGGATCTTTAGTGAGCAGCAGAGACCCTCTCAGAAACATTAATGAACATACAGACTCTTTTGAGCGGTGTGTGTGTATGAGTGGACTCAAACAGAAGAGCGCTTGCAACGCCAAGGTCATGGGTTCGATTCCCAGGGAAAGCAAGAACTGATAAGTATGTAAATGTGTCGCTTGAAATGCAAAGTGTCTTTGGATAAAAGTGTTTGGCAAATGCATAAATAGGAGGAGTAATTCTAGTGCGAGTCGAGGATCACTCACAGAAAACATCTCCTCGGGGGTCCAGCTGGTTCCCGGTGTCGTCCTCCTCCTCCTCGTACAGCTTCTCCTCCTCCTCCTCCTCGTCCTCAGGGCCGGTGTAGAGCCCGTCGCTGTAGTCGAAGGGTTGCAGCTGGAGGCGAGGGGTCACCGCCGGCTCTGGGAGGCTGTTGTCAAACCGGCCCAGAATACGAGTCTTGGACGGGAAATCGGGAATAACTGCAGGGAAAGGAAATGCTGATGTCAGATGATCTTCTAAAGCCATTATAAACTGAAGCTGTTCTGTGGTCAGCACAGACGACACTGAACACTATTGAGCAGAACATGTGACCAGGAACTGTGGACACTTGTGGAAGAGTTGAACATGATGATGAGATGATCAGTGTTTCTCCACAACAACTACACAAACGTCTCCGCTAACATTCAGAAACGTGTACAAGTGCAGCTCTCCCTGAGTCTCTCCGTTACTCCTGATCCTGGATCAGTCAGATCCGCCTGTGCTGTTATTGCCTCTGAAGCTCAAGTGAAGACTCCGCCCTTTCTGAATGGAGGTGGAGCTAAAGCTCATTTGCATTTAAAGGGACACACACAAAAACGGAACGCTTTTGATCACACACAAAAAGGGGCAAATTTGATGAGCTATAATAAATGATCTGGTATTTTGAGCTGAAATTTCACACACACATTCTGGGGAAACCAGAGATCTGGCGAAAAGGGGCGTAATATAACACTTTTAAAAACATAAAATGCATATATCGAGCATTATTGCATTAAACACAACGTGCTTTATATGCTCATGACTGCATGTTCGGATACTCCATGCGAAGGGAATATCTGTGTGCATGAAGCCGTTCGCAAAGGCCATCATATGAGTCGCATGTTAACACTTTACATTAAGGTTTCATCTGTTAATAAATGAGTGAACGTTAGAGCCGGACAATACTGCTAAAAATGTATATCTCAATATTTTTAAAAATTTCATGAGATTCGATATTTACATTTATGAATTTAGCAGACTATATTTAGTAAAGAAGACTCTCTCTCTCTTCTCTATATATATATATATATATATCAGTATTTTTGTCAGTGTAAAATAAAAATAATTAATCAACTAAATACATTTAAATTTGATAAAATACAATTTAATTTAAAATGTAATAAAATGAATGAAATAATAAAAAGTTAATAAAATAAATGAAATAAATGAAACATTAACGAAATTACAATAATTAATAAAAATAAAACAAATTCAATTGAATAAAATGCAATTAAACCTTTAATCATATAAATTAATAAATAAAATAATGAATAAAATAAATAAATGTAATTTAATCAAATAAAATGTAATTAAAAATAATCAAATTAATTTAATAACAGCTGTATATATATATATACACACACACAGATCTATTTTTCACCTTTAAATTATATTTATATGATTAATTTAAATATTTATACTGTATATAAATACACTACATAGGTAAAAATGTATTATAAAAAGAATTTAAAAAAAATAAATGTCTCCATATAATAATAAATAAATTATCAAAATAATTAAACATGTAGTGAAGGGTTTAAGGGTTTATAACACAGGATCATTGCGAAGCCGAATGTGTCAAAGTTTATCTTGATTATTTTCGTAATTTAAAACAAAATTCAATGAATCCCGTAAAGCGGCAGATAATGCATAACTAATATTACCAAATGAGATCTTATTGTAAAGTGTTTCCAGTTGCATTAAAGCGCGATAGCAGAAGTTTCACAGCGATGTTCTCCTGTTCTGAGATCAGTTTGAGGAAACCTCTCCATGCACACTACACTTCTCACCGCTGAGAGACGCGTCCGCTTTCCCCTGATCACTGTCCCAGGATCTGCTAGGAAAAGGCTTGACTACAGAAACACAAAGGATTTCTTGTTTTTCCCGGAAGCGTGTGGACTGTCAGTCATTTCCATGAAGATCGCCATTGTTGTGTGTCGTTCTCTCACCTGAACAGTCGAACCCGCTGCCGCGGAAGCCCTGCTTGCATTTACACCTGTAGGATCCGTGTGTGTTGATGCACTCGGCGTGAAGACTGCACTTGTGTGTGTCCGACACACACTCGTTTATATCTGAAACATCACAGTCTCTCATCATCGCCTTCCAAAGCAAGCATGAAGCAATCAAAATATTCTCTTGCATTTCAGGTTTTTCTCCCAGAGAGCGCTAGTATTGCTCAATCGTAACAGTAAGTTACACGGCGCCTGTCTTACCTACGCAGTCGTATTTTCCGCTGACGTATGAGAGGTCGTAGCCCTCCTGGCACTTGCAGTAGTAGCTTCCGAATGTGTTGATGCACTGCCGGTTGAACGGACACTGATGTTTCCCGCTTGCACATTCGTCAATGTCTAATGAAGACAACGAGGGAAACGAGTTAATGCAAACATCTGAACACCAACCATGATTTCTCCACCTGTTGTTGATTCAGCGATGCCATGAAGAAAACATTTTAGAAAACAATTCTTAAAATATTACAACATTTTAATAATCAAAAGAGCCGTTTTCCACTGGTTCCATCCCAGAAAGCAACAGATCCGGCCCACATCCGGCACACTTGGATTCCACACGGCTCAGACGTGGGCCGGATCTGGGTTGACTCTGTGTTGCTGATGTTAAAGGTTCTTCATGGAACCATCAATGCCAATAAAGAACCTTTATTTTGAAGATATAACGGGCGTTCGCACAGAGTATTCGAGGAACGATTCAAGTGTGTTTCCGCGAGCACTGATGGTTCCCTCAGGAACGTTCTCCTGGTTGCGTTCGCAGCGACTGAAGCGACGTGACACACGCTTGTTGAGACTTTTAATTTGACGGCGCTGAGAGCGACTGAACGCATTCTACTGTTCATTAGTGTACGATCTGTCGAACGGTGCTGTCTAATACACTATTACACCTGTTACTCACAGAGAGTAGACCGTAATAGAGTTATTAGCATATAGAGTTATTAGCGTATAGAATTATTAGCATATGCCTCATTAGCGTATAGAGTTATTAGCGTATAGAGTTATTAGCATATAGAGTTATTAGCATATGCCTCATTAACGTATAGAGTTATTAGCGTATAGAGTTATTAGCATATGCCTCATTACGTATAGAGTTATTAGCGTATAGAGTTATTAGCGTATGGCGTTATTAGCGTATAGAGTTATATTAACTTAATGGAGTTATTAGCGTATAGAGTTATTAGCGTATAGAATTATTAGCATATGCCTCATTAGCGTATAGAGTTATTAGCGTATAGAGTTATTAGCGTATAGAGTTATTAGCGTAGGAATTATATTAGCATATAGAGTTATTAGCATATAGAGTTATTAGCGTATAGAGTTATTAGCATATGCCTCATTAACGTATAGAGTTATTAGCGTATAGAGTTATTAGCGTATGGAGTTATTAGCGTATAGAGTTAATAACGTATGGAGTTATTAGCGTATAGAGTTATTAGCGTATAGAATTATTAGCATATGCCTCATTAGCGTATAGAGTTATTAGCGTATAGAGTTATTAGCGAATAGTTATCACGTATAAGAGTTATTAGCGTATAGAGTTATTAGCGTATAGGGTTATTAGCGTATAGAGTTTTTAGCGTATAGAGTTTTTAGCGCATGGAGTTATTAGCGTATGCCTCATTAGCATATAGAGTTATTAGCATATGCCTCATTAACGTATAGAGTTTTTAGCGTTATAGAGTTATTAGCGTATAGAGTTATTAGCGTATGGAGTTATTAGCGAATAGTTATTAGCGTATAGAGTTATTAGTGTATAGAGTTATTAGTGTATAGGTTATTAGCGTATAGAGTTATTAGCGTATAGAGTTTTTAGCGTAT